TATACTACAGTAACTGGAAATTATATTTCGCTTTCCCCAGCATTTACTGAGTTTTGTTGATGCTGTTTTTTGTTTATTGTACAAGGGTATCTCCTGCTGGGGATGAACCTGAGTTGTCAACTTAAGATCTCAGGTTTTTCCTGTGCCCACATCTGTCCCTGGGCATTTATAGTGACTTTTAAAATTTCCTATATAATAATGGTTTTCAATTGTCCTAGTCCTTAAATTTCTATTTCCCAAAAGGTAAAATATGAGGAAGTGAATGGGAAACAAACATGGACTGGCTTTTTAAATCCTTTGAAGGCCACATCACTCAGTGGGGTCTGCAATAATAGTGATTTGCCTCTGTGTCTCTACCTCCATGATCAGAAGCTGCAATCACTGATCAGAATATAGATCCCCAATATTTGAAAAAGATTCTTATTGTCAAACATGACTCCTGCTGCTCAGGAAAGAGAGCATGGCTGAAATCTAGAGGTGTTGTCTGGTAGCTGCTATTGTGCTGAGTGTTGAAACATACCAAAACTAATAGCAATTTACTTTCCAGCAACTGTAAGCCTTTTAATAGGCCCCAGAGTCCCAAAAATAATTACATAAGATAAATTCTGTCAGTAGTTTATGTCTAAGTGGAGAAATTGATTCTTGGCACTTTGGACTTTCCACCTTCCCTAACATCAATATTTCATTCTGTTTACAGCAAAACCTGCACACAGAGATATTTATAGCAGCTTTATTCATAATATCCTAAAACTGTAAGCAACAAAAATACCCTTCAGTGGTTGGATAAATAAACTGTGGCACATCCAGACAATGGAATATTGTTCAGCACTAAAAAGAAATGAGCTATCAAGCCATGAAAAGACATAGAGGAAACCTAGATACATATTACTAATTGAAAGAAGGCTATCTAATACTGTATGATTTCAACTGTATAACATTCTGGAAAATACAAAACTATGGAGAGAGTAAAAAGATGCCAGGAGCTAGGGGGAGAAATATACAGAGGATTTTTAGGGCGGTAAAGCTACTCTGTATCCTAATGATGAATACATGTCATTATTAGTTTGTCTCAACCTATAGAATGTACAGTGACATAAGATTACATAAGGAAACAATTGAATACAAATTAATAGACAAGAAAAAGGAAGTCTAGTAGAGAAAGGGGGGAGATGGGAGGAAAAAGGGGGATCATGAACTGATATCAATTTCCATGCATGTATGAGTTTGTTAGGAGAAACCAACTATTATGTATAACCATAAAGCTCTATTAAAAAATAAAAGTGCTAATAAAAATGAATTCTAATGTAAACTGTGAACTTTGGGTGATAATGAGTGTCAATGTAGGTTCTTCAATTGTAAACAGATTGGGTATGTCAAAATGCAGTCTACTGTCATGTGTAACTAATTAAAACAAATAAAAATTGTAGCCTTAATTAGAAGAAAAAACCCCAAATGTACCACTCTGGTGGGGGGATGTGATAATGGAAGAGACTATGTATGCAGTGGTAGAAATGTACGGGAAATCTCTGTAACTTCTAATTTTGTGTGACCCTAAGACTGCAATAAAATGTAAAAAGTCATATCCCCCTAGTCATGTATTAGAACTGTTATGCAATGACAACTATAAAAGTAAAATAATGGAAAGTAATTTACAACAAAATGTTTTCCCTCCATGAGGCTTGGGCCTGTAGAGGATGGTCAGGTGCTTCTGTCAGCTTATAATTTAATTAATAGGGCACCCTCATTGGGCTCTGCCAGTCCTGCTCCCATCATGTAACCCATATTGGCACTTCATTCTTGCATAACCCCATTTTTATTGACTCTTTTTACTTATACATAACATCAGGGTTCATTTTGGCATAATTATAAAAACATGGACTATCATTTCCTCTAACTCAGTCCCCATTACTTCCCCATTCCTTCCCCTGCCCCTGTTCCCTCTACTGGTATTTCTGCTATTTATAGTTTTTCTTTTTTCTTAATGCCTTGTGGATATACATGATGGTAAGATTCATATATGTACATAAAAGTTAAGTCAGATCAATGCTACTGTCCTTCCCTTACCCCACTCCACCTCTCTGCCATCAATTCCCTTCATTAGTTCAACAATTTTTTCTTCTGTTTTGATGGAATTCCTCCCTCCCTTTCCCCCCATTCTCTCTTTCTTATTATCCCTTATTTTGAACTAGTTTCTGCATATCAGAGAAAACATTCAACCTTTGACTTTGGGGGCTTATTTCACTTGTAGCATGATTGTCTACATGTTATGCTAGTTCCATCCACTTACCAGCAAATTCCATAACCCCATTTTAAAGGTGAGGCAATCAAGGCAACTCCTAGACAGTAATTCCTAAATAGATCACTGTTGTGCCAGAATTTGAACCTAGGTTCACAGCTTTCTCTCACCATTCTTCTTGTGTCACTTCTCAAAAATTTGAAGCTCAACTTGTGATCTCCTGATATCCCCAGATCCTCCTCAGCCATCCTGGGTTGATAATTGCCCTGTGCTTTATGAGGCACTCAGAAGGTGGGTGTCTATGAGGCTGGGACCTCATCCTTGTCCCTCAGGCCTTCTATCTACAAACACGGGGAAACAGTGCTGAGAAACTTGGGAGTAGTCAAGGACGACTGGGGGCCTCAAAAAGTAATGGGGGCAGTGAGGAATCTACAGACATTATACTAGAGGGGTTAGTGAGGAACCAGCATATAGTGCCAGGATTTGATGGGGAGGGGTCACAGATACTGTGTCACTGGTCAAGATATAACAGACATGGGAATGTAGGGCCCCCATCATAATTGTCCTATTGTTAATAGGGTGCTATGGAGAGTGCAATGGAGGCTCCAAAATGTAGATGGGAAATGTGGTTATGGTTTGTTATCAGCCATTTACCTTTACTACAGAGGAGAAAGGCAGGTTAACAGTATGAACCATATTGGAAGAATCACCAAGTGCTGTACTGGGGATAGTTACAGAGACTGCTAAGTGAGTAATAGAAGATCACTGGTTACCACTGTGATGGACAAATAAGTGGAGGGGGATCACACATCCCCCTACAGATGTAATAAAATTATCAGCTAACATTTGGATTTGCCAATATTTCTTAATTCTGACATTGTATTAAGTGGTCATCAGACACTGGAGCATGGAAGTTAGCAGACATTGTCACAAATAGGATGAAGTAACAAATATGCTGAAGTGAAATTGGGGGAGGGAGGAAGTAATAAAATCTACAGGTACTATTTCCAGGGATTAAGTAGGGGTGACACACATAAAAAGGGGATAACAGAGAGTGGACAGACATTATTCTGGGGCAGATTAAGAAGGGGGAAAAGGTGACCATAATTACTCTGAAAGGTCAGTAGCCACTGCCCTAAGTTGGGGGGAAATGGAGGGTCACGAGATATTCTAAGTTGGTGAAACAGTAGTGAAATCTTAGCTACAGTGCTGGATGGGGAAAAAGGAGGTAATGGTCAACAACAATCTTCTAAGATAGGGAAGGTCATCCTGTGCATCATCAGATACAGTGAAGGAAGAGTGTGGAGACATAAATGTGGATGAGCAGATATTAAGCTAGGCAAGGACAGTGGGATAGATCATGGAGCACTGCCCCATCAGGAGCCAGGGCAATAAATCCCCAGCCCTCCCCCCCTTGATCAGGTCATCTCTTGGTCTCTATCCTTACCTCTTCATATTGCCCTTCACAAGGACAAGACCATCTCTGCACAGCCTATTTCCCACTCCCAGCATTGCCAATGCATTGGCCCTAGACAAATCATTCTGCTGGCTCCAGTAAGGCCATCCAGAAGCTGAATTTCAAAACATGCCCAAGTATCTGTAAGCTAATGCTACCCATTTGGGGTTGGTCACCTAATTTGCAAGATCCAACCTTGCCTACTCTTGGCCCTTCCATACTTGGCACACCTGTCAAAACAGGATAAGCAGGTCTACAGATGGAATTATTTGGTGTTAGAACTCTGGACTTTGTGCAGCGTAGAACTGTGAATGCAGGGGCTTCAAAATGAGTGGGATTTTAAAAAACACTCTGGAACTGACATTTTGGAATTTTAGAATCATGGCAGGGAATCCTGGGATTTCCTATACCTAAATTTTTCTTCTTTAAATGGGTTAGTATCGAGAAATTTTATAGACTTTATTTAGCTTTAGGGCTAGGAAGGGACACAGCTTAAGTAAACATTAAAAATGGAAATGCTTACCATGTTTTAAGCAAGCTGGTTCTCCCTTTTGGAGCCTCATATGCTGCAAAACAGAAAGGAACTGAGGGAATCTGGGGTAAGGATGGGTCAATACTCCACAATGTGCATATGCCTGCTACATGGCAGACATGGGTCTAGGCCCCTAGTGGTGAAGAAAACAAAACAAAAAAAATTCTAGAGTGGGAGCCACAGGCAAAAAAGCATCATAGATAAGGCTCCATGGCATAAGTGCTATGGAGAAAGATAAAAGGGGAAGGTAGAGGGGGCTTGGATTTTAATCAGGTAGGGAAGGGCTATGAGGTGACCTTGGAGGAAAGGCATAAAGGGAAAAGCTACAAAGATATAATGAAAAACAGTGCTCTGTGCAGAGGCACAGCAAATTCAAAGGTCCAAGACAGGAACTAAATGAATGTGTTGAAGGCATGCGGGGAGGAGGTCTTTGTGGAGTACATGACATGAAGATGAACACAAAACATAATATATGTTGGGGTTTGTTATAAGTTAGTAATTTGTTCTTATGTAAGTTGAGTCATTAAGGAAGGCAAATAAGTGTGAAGAACTGTGACTAAGGGAGACTTAATTTGACCCAGATGACCTGAAAATTCTTACCTCAAATGGCTCTCCCAAAGACAGTGAACTGAGTTCAAAAGATACTATGCTGGGGGTCAGAAGACAATGTGATGATAGCTTCTGAGGCACGAAGACACTACAAGTAGCTGTAAGTGGGGTGACAAATCCTGTGTTAGATGATAATGGTAAATCCACATACACTCTTTTGTGTCAGTATAGATAAGGAATATATTTTATTACATCACTTCCTTGATAGAAGCAGCAATGGTAGACTGAATATACACAAATGTGTTAGATTCAACCAAAGAATGAAAACCCTCATGCCTGTTAGATATGTTCTTCAGGAAACAACTTACAGAACTAAGGACGTATCACCACCCTCTATATTGTGTTGTTTTACTGTTCAATTTGTTGGCATTGTCCCTATTCCACCAAGAGGATTATCATGATTATAATTTATCCTTCCTATGAAGAATTTGGTACCTATGTTCCACTGTATTTTTCATGAGAAGGCTTCCTCTAAAGCACCAGTTCCTTCTCAGTATGCCCCAGGATTTAACAATGGTGATGACAATGTAGAATCCCCCCCACCCCGCCATTCAGCTCCTTCTCAGAGGTCCTCTTGTAAACAGTGCAGTGTCACATTCTGCTGTGGGCATTTCTACTTACAATAATATACATATTATTCTGTTGCATGGATTCAATAGTGTCATGTCCTCAGTAAGGTTTTTCTCACACTGTTTAAGTGTGAATACTCTGGTGCACATTGAGTACAGATTTCTGAACAAAGCCTTTCCCACAGACTACACACTTGTAGGGCTTGTCTCCAGTATGTGTTGTTTGGTGTTTATTCAAATTTGACCTGTCAGTAAAGGCTTTGCCACATTCAGCACACACATAAGGCTTTTCGCCTGTGTGAATTCGCTGATGCACTTGGAGCTGAGATTTCTTAGTGAAAGATTTCCCACAGTCACTGCATTCATAAGGTTTCTCTCCAGTATGAATTCTGTGATGTGTAATCAACTCTGACTTCTGTCTGAAGGTCTTCCCACATTCAGAACAGATGTAAGGCTTCTCTCCTGTGTGGGTTTTTTGGTGTTTACTGAGATTTGACCTGCCACTAAAGGCCTTGCCACATTCACCACACACATAGGGTTTCTCGCCTGTGTGAATTGGCTGATGTACCAGCAGCTGAGACTTGGACGTGAAGGACTTCCCACAATCACTGCATTCATAAGGTTTCTCTCCTGTATGAATTCTTTGATGAGTAATGAAGTTTGACTTTCGGATAAAGGCTCTTCCACATTCAGTGCATACATAGGGTTTCTCCCCCGTATGAATTTTCTGATGCACAATGAGTATTGATTTCTGATTGAAGGCTTTCCCACATTCATGGCATTCATACTGCCTCTCTCCAGTATGAATTTTCTGGTGTATATTGAGGTGTGACTTTTGGGTGAAGGCTTTTCCACAGGTACTGCATTCATAAGGTTTCTCTCCGGTATGAATTCTCTGATGTGTTATCAAGTCTGATCTCTGAGTAAAGGCCTTTCCACATTTAGAACATACATAAGACTTTTCTCCTGTATGAGTTTTCTGATGTGTGATGAGATTTGACCTGTTGGTGAATGCCTTCCCACATTTATTGCACATGTAAGGTTTTTCTCCTGTGTGAATTCGTTTATGCACATGCAGTTGTGACTTAGAAGTAAAGAATTTCCCACAGTGACCACATTTATAAGGTTTCTCTCCAGTATGAATAATTTGATGTGCAATCAAGTGTGCCTTCTGGATGAAGGCCAGCCCACACTTCGTGCACACATGGGATTTTTCTCCTGTATGAATTCTCTGATGCACTGTGAGTGCTGACTTCTGAGTAAAGGCTTTTCCACAGTCACCACATTCATAGGGTTTCTCTCCAGTGTGAATTCTCTGATGAATAATTAACTCTGACCTGTAAGTAAAGGCCTTCCCACATTCAGCACATATGGACGATTTCTCTCTAATTTGAACTTTCTTATTTGCAACAAGGTTAGAACTATTGTTGAAGGCCTTCCCATATTCGGTACATGAATAGGGCTTTACTCTTGTGTGAATTCGTTGATGTACCTGGAGTTGAGACTTGGAAATGAAGGCTTTCCCACAGTAACTGCATTCATATGGCTTTTCTCCAGTATGAATTCTTCGGTGTGCAACCAAGTGTGTCTTCTGGATGAAGGCCTGTCCACATTCAATACATATGTAGGATCGCTCTCCTGTATGAATTTTCTGATGCATCTTGAGTGTGGACTTTTGTGTAAATGCTTTGCCACAGTCACCGCATTCATGGTGTCTCTCTCCAGTATGAATTTTCTGATGTATACTGAGATCTGAGTTATAAGAGAAGCCTTTCCCACATTCACTGCATTCATAGAGTTTCTCTCCAGTGTGAATTCTATGATGCCTGAAGAGAGAAGACACTTGGAAAAAGGACTTTCCGCATTCATTGCATTTATAGGGCTTTTCTCTAGTATGGGTTTTTTGATGTGTGATGAATTCTGGCTTATGCACAAAAGCCTTGCCACATTCAATACATACATAGAGTTTTTCTCCTGTATGAACTCTCATATGTACCTTGAGCTGTGATTTATGGGTGAAGATCTTTCCAAATTCTGCACAATCATAGGATTTCTCTCCCGTATGAATTTTCTGATATCGAGAGGGTACTTGTTGATAACTGAGATTTGTTCTACTTTGATTATGGTTCCATAATTTCTCTCCTGTTAGAGTATACTCATGGTCATCAGTATAGGAAGAAATTTTACTACATTCAGTCATCTTTTTAATGCTATTTGATGTATTACTTCTATAATGACTGTATAAATCTAAATTATGTTTCAAGACATTCCCAAATGAGCCAAATTGGTGGGGTCTTTTGGAGGGGGGAATAATGTTTGGGCTCATGTGGATTATTTTTGTAATGCCTTCATACTCATGATGACTCTTTGTAGTCCATATTTTCTTGATGAAAGCAGTATCATTTATTGATTTACTTCCTGTTTGATGATAGGTGACTATCTGATCACCAATCTGCTGCAATTCTTCTAGAATAAAATACAAGAAAACATCACTTGTAATACCACCCCACTGCTCAATGTGGAAAGAAGTTTTTCAGAAATCTGTTATAAGGTTTGAAACCCAAATACATCTTCTCAGAAAAGAAAGAGGTGATTTTAGCTCAAAGAACAGCTAAAAGAGGCTAAAGGGAAGGGTACAAATACCTCATCCAGGTTGAACAAAGAGAAAAGGGTGAGTGTCATTTGATGAGGAGGTTGACGATGGTATTGATAGGAAACATTCTGGCATACAATTCAAGAAAGGAAATAAACTAAGCAGATAGCACTATGGACATGTGGGAAAAAATAAGGCAAAGAACAAGATATATTGCAAAGTTATATTTATGTAATCTAATGATACATAGCCCTAATTTACTATAAATTTTATAACAAGCATGAATTAAAAATGTTTCTATCAGCCAGGTAGCACATGCCTGTAATCTCAGTGGCTTGGGAGACTGGAATAAGAGGATTATGAGTTTGAGAGAAGTCTCAGCAAATCAGCAAGGCCCTCAGCAACTTAGCAAGACCCTGTCTCAAAATAAAAAATAAAAAGGACTGGGGAGGTTGCTCAGTGGTTAAGCGCCCCTGGATTCAATCCTCAGTCCCCCCCCAAAAAAGTTTGGGTCATACAAAAGAGTGACCTATAGTGGGAGTGTTAACTGAAGACTATGATTAAACTCAAGCAGATAAGGTACACAAAATAGTAACAATAAATCCAACCGATCAGGCAGAGAAACCCTAGTTAATGTGAAGTCACTCAAGCAGCATGAGAAGGAAAGTTTGGGAAAGGTGACTGATAATGTCAAGTATCACATATAAGTATACCCAAAGGTTAAGTGACAGTGACCCCCACATCATCAATTGGGAAACTGAAGAAATGAAAAATCTCATGGAAATAACTATGGAGAAAACAGGAGGAGTCCCAGGTTGGAGACTGTAGGGAGCCACTCTGAATGACTCAAGCCTTCCATCCTGAAGCAAGGCTTTGACCATCACTACATTTCGTTGTCCCAGTTCAGGAAGTTAAGGGCATATCTTCAGATGTGGGCGATGCCCCTTGAATTACACTCACCTGACCCTTGTAATCCTGCCCCTTCTGGTCTTTTTTTGGATGGAACTTTCTCAGAACAAGGGTCCCCCCAATAAAGGCCCACTTCTGAATGTGCTCGCTCTCTCTTGCCAAACTTTCGTGACTTTCTCTTGCTCTCCTATTTGGGGAGCCTGAGGCCGAGAGTGGAGAAGCTGTCCTGAAGCTTGTTTAAAGGTAAAGTGTGTGTCTGTGTTTTATTTGGTGTCCCTGGAAATTCACACGAGCCACCTTAAGTTCAGCTGCCCACATCGGTTGGGGGCAGCAGGAGACAAAAGTTCTGAGGCATCTCAGAAAGAAAAAGGGACTAACAGGAATGTGAATATGTGTCACATAGTAAATCTGAAGTAAAGTAGATCCATAAATGCCTGGATGTGTAAACAAAGACTCTAGAACTACATGAAAGGTAGGGATTTAAAAAAAAAAAAGTTAAGAGAAAAAGGGCATAACAAAAAAGAATAATCCTTAATGAGACCAATTGTTACGGGCAGAATTCAAAAAGCCAAGGAAGACAGAAATGGCAAAGGTCAATCAGGTAGAAGGCATTTAGTTATCTGAAAAGTCAATATCGAGGACACTCAAAAAATTGAGTACCTTCCAGAAAAGCATTTCAAAGCACCTCAGATTCTTAAAGACAGCTGAGATTTGCTCTCTTGCGTTGCTGAAACTCCCTTATCTCCCATTTACAAGGGTGACACTCACTCACCTGGACAGCTCTGGTGTGGGTTCTCACCCTGCAGTGCCCACGGCTCCTGTCCTTGTTCCACCATGAAAACCTCTGACTCAGGAACTTGATACCCTGTTCATGGGAAATGACAGAGGACTGGTTCCAGCTAATTCAGTTTCAGAGCCCAATCTATCAATTTGTTTTTCTTTTTTGGTAGCAGGGATTGAACTCAGGCACTCAACCACTAAGCCTCATCCCCAGCCCTATTTTGTATTTATTTAGAGACACAGTCTCACTGAGATACTTAGCACCTCACCATTGCTGAGGCTGGCTTTGAACTCACGATCCTCCTATCTCAGCCTTCCTAGCTGCTGGAATTATAGGCATGTGCCACCACGCCCAGCAGCCCAATTAATCTTATGAGTCAATAAAGTTTTTTTTTTAAGAAGAGTAGTCATGTATCTCTATGAATAGAGTAATATGAAGATTCTCAAAGGAGATAAAGAATTCTGGACATTGTTCCACAGAATTCATCCAACTGAGAGTGGAAACACTCTCAGAAACCTCCTTTCAGATACCACGGTGACAAAGCTTACCTACTGAGAGCAGGTGGCTGTAGGTCTCCTGCATCACATCCCGGTAGAGGTTTCTCTGAGCAGGATCCAGATGCTGCCATTCCTCTCTGCTGAAATCTATAGTCACATCCCTGAAGGACACTGGTCCCTGTAAAGGGAAAATTCCTGTTCAATGTGAACAGTTAGTTTTTGGGATGCAAAAACAGTATTTAGGAATTTGGAACATGACTTTTGCAATTGTTTTTAATTTAACTCCTTTTTTAAAAAACTCACACCAGGGAATAATGCCAACAGCATGGCTGACTAGAAACCCTAGCACTCATCCACCAACACAGAGACAGGCAAAGCAACAAACAACTACATTTTGATTAAAATAACTAAAGAAAAGTGCCAAAGTACATTAAAGGAGTAGTAGAAACCTTATAAAGTATAGAGACCCAGGCTAGTCACATAAAGAACAAAAGGCAATACCTCACCTCTGCCACCCCTAAGTAGCAGTTAGCACAGAATTAAGAGAAAGGTAAGCAAGCGGACTCCAGCAACCACCACCTATTGCCATCTATCCTAGCTGGCGACCTAAGGCTGGGTTCACAAAATCTGACTCTTCTGATAACTTAAGAAAACAGCCAAGAAAGCATGCAAACACACAGAAGTACCTTTTCAAAATCTGGGGATGGCTCTGTGACCTTAGGGGCCTGTGGAAAGAGAGAGAGCCACTAGAATTCTTTATTCTTATATAGGGGACACACAAGGGGAGGTTCCATGGAACATTCTACACCAGAAGGGGCAAGGGGTGGGATTACAGAGGAACAGATGCGTGTAGCTCAACCCCACCGGGTGACGCCTACTCCTGGAGCCATGCCCCATTATCTGAGTGGAGGTAAAGCCCAAGTTATTGTGGGGCACAATAATTGCTCAGCATCTCTTGCTCAGGACTTATGGGCATGTATTTCCAGAACAGCTCCTGAGAATCACCACCTTGGATCTCTACAATCCTCACTACCTGGGACTCATGTTGTCCTCACAGGTGCTAAGCCCGACTGAAGGAGGTGCCCAGTCTTCACACGAAGCCAACACTGTGTTCTACCCTTTATGATTCATGTGTATACTGTATATAGCATCTTGCTGGGAGTATCCTACTCCAGGGTGAGTATCACAGCACCCTTTCATTCCTGAGGCCTTATTGCTACTGAACGACCACTGCCTAGTGGCCCACTATCTCTGAGACAAGCTATTGCTACACCCTACCCTGTGGGAGCAAAATACCACAAAGCCATTCCATCTACCTTCTCAGCTGCTGCTGCACCCTGCCCCTCAAGGCCTGAACTAAAGTGGTATCCTGCCTACTGGGTAAACAGTGTCTTGGCCACCCAGAGCAGTCCCACACTCCTGTACCTGAACTGAAGCCGCACATTACCCTCCAAGGAACTGGTGCCTTGACCCAAATCAAGCAACAACACATCCCAGACTGAGCTGACATGGCACTCCATCTCCTAGGGAAACAGCATTGGCTGAGTTGTACCCAACCCTACAGGTTGAACAACAGTAGTGTCCTGCTTCCCTGGAACTGAACTAGCCACCTGGAGCCTAAGCTGGTGAGATACCCCTGACCAAGGCATGCAGCTGTCCCTGTGCTACCCCCTACATTCCAGGGCTCAAGCAACAGCTGAGCTCTGCCATCCCAGAGTCATTACTATAACTGCAGTTAGCCTCACAGAATTTGGGACATTGCCAGGACCCACCATCATCACTATTCAAAACATGATCCCTTGAGGCCTGAGTCATTACTGTGTCCTGAATTGCAGCTGCACCCTGCTTCCCACGCCCAATCCTCCATTGCATCCCTTCTACCCAGTAGCTGAGCCAGTGCTGTGGCGTGCCCTCGGATTCCAAGTCACATCTATAATCCAGACCATGGGCCCAAGCTGCTGGAGGTGCCTCAGAATGACAGACTAGTTTTATCAGGAATCTGAATCCAGCTCTGCCTCAGAGCAAACCTGCACCCCAAAGTCTAAATACTACCACAGGTTTGTGAGTCCCTGAGTCAAGGACTAGGTCAGACTCAATACAAAGAAGGATCCCTAAGCTAAGAGTCATCACTGTGAGAGAAATGAGAAAAGGAGGACCACAAAAGTCCTTGCTGCTGAGGATCCTAATAACCTATGATGATGTCATTCCTGCTATAAACCCTTATAGGTTAAGTCACCAAGGCACATGCACTATCGCTGATGTTGATCAAAGCTTAAGAAACCATACAGAGGCTATACCACTGCACTTCAGGGAATCAGCCATACTCTTCCCATCCAGCACACTAAGACCCATATGCAGGTGAAAAATCTCTCCCTACAAAAGCTACTCTGTGTAATATAGAAAAGGTAATTTTTCCACCAGATTTGTAGACATAAGAACATGAAAAGGCAAGAAAACATGACACTACCAAAGAAACAATAATTCTCCAATAATGACCAAAGAAATGGAGATTCACCAACTACCTTAAAAGGAATAAAAATAATTTTCTTAAGGACACTCTGTGAGATGTAAGAAAACACAGATAATTCAACAAAATCAGGAAAACAATCATGATCTGAATGAGAAATTCAACAGCAATAGATATCATAAAGAAGAATCAAACAAAAATCTTGGAACTGAATAATTCAATTAACAAATATAGAACATAGTAGAGAGCTTCAACAGCACCCTAGATCAAGCAGAAAAAAATTTGAACTTGCTATGATTTGGATGTGGGTTGTCCTCCAAGGATTAATGTGACAAAAGATTGATCCCCAGTGTGATAGCATGAGAGGTGGTGGAAATTTTAAGAGGCAGAGCCTAGTAGGGGTCACTGGGGCATGCCGTTGGAAGGGATTAACAAAGTTCCCTTAAGAAACATTAGTCCCCTCAAGAGAAAAAAAATTGGTCCTCTCCTCAATCTCTACCTTCCTGCCTTGCCATGGGATCTCACTCTCATGCACTCCTACCATGGTGCCATTCACCAAGATGTGACACATATAAAGGCAGCCCTCACCAGAACCAGTGCCATGCAATTTGGACTTTCAGCCTCCAAATTTTTATACATACCTAGCCTTAGATACTGTGTTATGGTATAAAAACAGATTTATACAGGACTAAAAGCAAGACCTGAAACCATAAAACTAGAAGAAAACAGGGGAAGCTCCTTGACATTGGCCTTGGCAATGATTTCTTGGATATCACATAATTCAGGCTACAAAAGCAAAAATAAATACACAGGACTATATCAAACAAAACAGCTCCTTCATAGCAGAAGAAACAGTCAACAAAATATAAATACAACCTACAGATTAGGAAAAAATATACGATTCATTACAGCAACTGTTTATTTTTCATATATATATATATATATATGTATATATATAAAAACAATGATGTCATGTTAATTATACCTTAAATATAAAATAAAATTTAGTTAGAAACAAAACTTAACTCATCCCCATTTCCCTAATGATTTTTTTTCAATTTTTTTTAGTTGTAGATGGACAGAATGCCTTTATTTTATTTGTTTATTTTTAGGAGGTGCTGAGGATCGAACCCAGTGTTTCCTGCATGCTGTGCAAGCACTCTGCCACTGAGCTACAGCCTCAGTCCATCCTTAATATTTTACTATGGAAATTTTTAATCACACATAAAATTTAAAAGAATTTCATAGTTCACTTACTTTACTTACTTTATCACACATTTACCCAAGTTTTTATTTATCCATTGATTTACCTTACATTTTGGTGCATTTCAAAGTAAATTGCAAACATTAGCACACTTCCTCCTAAATATTTTTTTTAATATTTATTTTTTAGTTGTAGTTTAGTTGTAGAATATAGCTCAGTGGTAGAGCAGTGGTAGAGCACCTGTCTATCATATTTCAGACCCTAGATTTGATC